TGTTTTACTTGACTTTGTATAGTTGGTTTAAGGCTGCAACCGTTAGTCCGATAGAAGGGTTGCCGAATTTTTTATCGTTTCTATCTTGTTTAACATGATAATGCACTCCTTGTGTATTATCTTTTATTTTTGATTTATAAAATTTACGTGATTACCTATCAAAAAATAAATAAATTTTTATAGAATTCAAAAGATTTTTGAAGACTTTCATTTGAAATATAATTCATGTGAATTTAGTGCAATAATGTGAAACTATCACATACGAAGTGATAGTTCTTACAATTTCCCTTCCCAACTTCCCCATATAATAAAAAAAATATTTTAAAAAGAATAAAATTTTAAAACCTTAATTAAATTAATAATTATTATACATATAAAAATAAATCTAATATTCAATATTATTAACATAATATACACTATAGAATAAATAAAAATATATGTTTAAATTTAATTATAAATTATTCAATATAAAATTTTATAATTTAATTAAAAATAGATATTTTTCACAAAAAATAAATGAAAAAAGAAAAAAAAAAGTTTATAGGAATACAATTTAATTTTTTCATTGGAAAAAAAATAAACAATAAGAGAGAGAAAAATAAAAATAGAAAGTAATTTAATCAGTAGGAAAAAATAATTTTTTTAATCATAACTCTAATATTCATAGAAGGGAAAAGGAAAGATAGATGTTGAAAAAAAAAAATACATATTAAATTTTTTTTTTTAAAGTCTCCCAAAATCTTGTGATTAATGAAGATAAGTTTTGAAATTTTATTTTAGTACTTTTTGTTTAAAAGTTAGTATCATGAAGACTTTTCTAAAAGTTTCTAAACAAGATTTATAGAGACATCTAAAAAGTTTTAATTGAATACACCGTAACTTTTAAAGGCTTTTTAAAAGTTTACAAAAATCTCAATTGAATACACCGATACTTTTAAAAAATTTCCAAAAGTTCACAAGTCTACAAAGTAGTACTTTACATGGTTTTTTTTTTTTTTTTTTTTTTTCAATTGGACCCTCACCATTGTACTAAATCTCAATTTCCATCGAGTTTGCATTCTTCCATTTTGCTTACTCATCTTAGCCCAAATCCCAGCATTTGTGAATTCATCAAAGCAACCCCTGGCCTAGGAGTTCCCTTCTAATTTCTGTCCAACATTTTGAGTATGCTCAATATCAACTTCACCATTAACCAACTGCTGCAAATTTTCTCAGACCTAGCAACAATATAATATTATGTTACTCTGAGAAAATTGTAGCACAAATTATCCAGTGCATTGCATGCAGCCCAAAAATTTCCATAGTTTTTGTGCTTTCCTTATGATTTTCTTCATCTTCTGATCAATCAAACCAGCAAAGGAAGGCGAGACAACCAAATCATTGTTTGAATTTGTTGATGCAGTGTCTGTATTTTTTGAAGAGGTTGAAATGTTATCTGCTCTGTAGTCACTGCTACACTTCCGAAGATAAAAATCTCTACTGCCAACATCCCCGATCACATCTGATTTGCTCAAGCCTATACAAGTGTTTGAAGAAATTATAATACAATACAAATAATAATCCTGCAGTAAAATAGGTGAATTGTTCAAAAGTGGACTTACCATGAAACGAGTCACTAATTTTTCATTTGAAATGGCGTAATTTGAAGTAAAAGTTAATAATAACCTTAATCTTCTTCTAAAAACCTCACCTTTTTCCACCTTCACCCTATTCCCACCTACAACCTATCCCCCCACCAGTACCGCCTCCCCTCCCCTCCCCCAGAAGCTCCATTTTTCTTCACACGGGACCTCTCCAGTGGGGGAAAACTGGGAGGGGGTAGCGGTGGTGTATGCACCACAAGTAGACACAAAATTAGACTTCATGGCTTGCCCATTATATGGAATTGTATAAATTAGATTCCAATAATCTATTGGTAATGGTCATAGAAGAACATGAAAAGTAAACTTGTAGGCAATGGTCGTTTTCACATTTAAGTCAACTAATGAGAAAGCCTACTAAAAAGACATTTATACACTTTATACAGAAGCCCCACGTATTCCTACTCAATCAAGTCCATTGTTATCAATAATCCATAACAATAAATACTTTAGTACGCATTCTGAAATACATAGTAGTAAAACTTGATCGATATCGGCCACATCAATCATTCAAGGACTGTTATCAATGTATCAAGTGGTATAACTGCATAATGTCAATGTAGAATATCTTATGAAGAGGCAGCTCCAACTCGAAATGTTTTTATTGCATCACCAGTTTGTCAAAGAATAATGCAGATGTATTTATTGCATCACCAATTTGTCAAAGAATAATGCAGATATAGAATATAGAGTTGAGACGGGCGAAGCATATTTTCATAGACTGGCTTTATACTAATGGATTGCCCCTGAGTCAATGACCATTGGCTATGTCAACAGGGGCAAAACATTTGGATGACCATTTGGTCATACTTGTTCAGTTGTTCTCTAAGGAAGACATACGTAGTAGTTGAAAATTTTAAGCTAGCCACCTTTTTGTATACCAAACAGCAGCGCTAGCAATTTTCTCATAAGAACTTCCTTTAAGCCTTACTAGACCAGGATAAGTCAGACCTAAGATTCGTCGGCATTTTGCACACAAGAAAACAAGAAGTTAATTAAGGAAAAAAATTGAGATTTAGAACTCACTTTGAAGACTAAAGTATGAGTGGTGTAATTCAAATGTTGAAGCAGCAGCTTTATCTAGATGGGGACTGCGGCCTTCTTCGTTGTACTTTTTAACCGCGACCTTTATTGTCTCCTCCACGCTGGATCCTAATTTGAGCATTGTTCGAACAGGTCCAGGACTTCCTTCAACAGTTACATTCACCACTACCTTGGCATCTTTGTTGTACCCCTACACGTCAAAATTGTTACACATAATTCCGCAATTTTAACAACTTTGCACGAAAATTTTCAATAGAATGTCAAAGCATCCAATCCAGAACATGAGAATGTGCCTTCGTCGGAGACTGGGTTTTGAAACTACGACTCATACTAGAGATCATAAAACCGCAACATAAACCATTTAATAAAAATTCGAGGTTTATTAATTTGAAAATTGAACCAAATTATCCAATTACAAAGCAATTATGGATCATAAGGGGTTTAGCCAGAGGTGCTCTACCCTCCTAGATTATAAATTTCATACTGCTTATTTTCTTTCCTATTAATAGATAGGGGCCATAGGGCAATGTTTTACCCATGAACTATAAGGAAAGTACTCTTTGTTTAGGCTGTTGAGGATCGGAGAATGATGGAAAAACAGATTTTAAAAATTTTAATCAACGAGAAAAGAAAGTTTACTATTCGAAACCAATTACCGGAACTAGTCACTCAATTCAATTAACCAATCAAATCCGAGAAATCAACTCAAAATATTGATAATTTAAATTTTTTATTCCAATTACCTCGGGACAAATATGAGGAGATCGAGGCACCAGAATCTCCGGCGCCGAGAATATATCAATACATGTCCGCCGACGGTGAAGCACATCCTCCACCACCGCGGATTTGTCGCTCCGACTACCGTATCCGCCCGGATCAGTCCTGACTTCCGGCAACGCAGGCTCCGACTTGCACCTCTGTAAGATTTTAACATCCTTCGGTGGCCTCCACAACTGGCCACCGATAACAGCTCTACTTCTCCGGCGAGTCGCCGGAGACTGTGATGGCGATAGTTTGGGTACTCCGTTGCCGGTGTTTGATCTCCGGCTCACCGGAATCCTTCTCAAATTCTTATCTGACATACATACATACAAGGATTAACCACAGAAATTATGGTCGTGTGTCGGTGTGTGGAGAATGAAGTGCAAGGGAAGTAGCTTGCTCTCGCAGCAACTGGTAGTTGGTTGATTTTCTGGGGTTTACATGAAAAGCCGTTAATGTATGACTCCTGCGTATCTATTAATTATAGTTATACGTACTTTTGACTTTCTTTTCTTTTGTATTTTCTATTTTTTCTTTCATTTACTAAGACCATGTTTGTCTAATGCTTATAACTTTCTTATCTACCGTTCATTTTTATTTATTTGTAACTTAAACTATTTATAAACACGCTTTAAAGAAAATTTTAAAAAATCTATAAATGTTTACAAAGCATTATCAGGCAATAAGGTTTCATAAATGGATGGTCAATCAGTGTCATAAATCATCACATGTCCATGTGATAATAAGTTTCCTGATTCATTGTTTAATGAAATTGTGATACATTTTAATGTTACAATATTGTGTGGTGTACGTTAGAACTCAATAACACAATTTTTAATGTCTCTTATTTTTTTACGACACAACGTTGTGTGGTATACGTTAGTAAATTTTGCCGTTACTAACGTCCAAAATATCCTCATTTGAAATAAGAGATTGAGTTGAAATAACAACTAAACGGATATATTTATGACATGTAATGTCCCAACATCCAAGTGTCAAATGCTTATTTTCCGTTTGTCCCAATGTTCCACTAATGTTGCTATTAAGGCTCGACTGGCTTCATGTTTTAGTTTAGATATGAATTCAATCAATATTACATATCGAAATGAACTATCTATTTATAGTTGGAGTATTATATATTTCTGAGCAGAGTAAGTGACTGAAAGATTCTATACCATAGAGAGTTTGAATCATTTTAAAATTTAAAGGGAACGAAACACTATAAATGTATGATTGAATGTTTATATTTATAGTTTCTCCATCAAAAAATATTGTTTCTTTCTTAATGGTACATCCAAACTGTAAGTGTTATGTCCTAAGTCCAATCAACTTTGGATATAAACACTTTAAATATATATAATTGATGCATGTATGGCAATATCTATTATTTAATTGAATTAATATTCTAATAAATTAAATAATAGAATCCGTAGATTCAAATCTTGGTGATTTGTTAATCACAAGGAGTTGTGATTGTGAGATACAAATTACAAATGATCGAATCTTAAATCGTCAGTGGTCGAAATAATAACGAGATACGAATATCGTTATTACGGATAGACTATCGCGTGTGGCATTCTTACTTGTGAAGTAAGTAGCTGATCTCACAAGCTAAAGTGTGGTGACACTTGAATGAACATGTGGATGTTTTGTTATA